CTTTCAAGAAGTGAATTAAGATTGGAATTGTAGTACGTTGTCGAGAGGTTGGTGTTTAGGGTTGGATAAAGGGGTGGCGTGGGGTAATAAAGCTGTATTCTCCAATTTTTTTTTTCCTTTTTCCTCCCCCCCCCCACACCCTGGGAAATTTTTTTTTTTTTTTTTTTTTTTTTTTTTATCTCAGCGGAATCAGTGAGAAATTTAAGTAAGGTTGGATTTCCACTGCCGCGTAATTTTTCACGCAATACTACGCGCGTAAATAAAATAGGGACAATTTATGGAAGGTCACGCGTATACGTAAAAGTTCAACCTCGCTCAACTTTTACGTATACGCGTGGCCTTTCATATATTGCCTCTATTTCATTTACGCACGTAAAAATAAGGCGACAGTGGAAATCAACCCGAACAAAGCAAAGACGAAATGAATTCTGGTAGTTGTAGTCAAATATCGTCATCATGAAAATGGCTTATTAAAAGCACAAGATCCTTACAAAATCTTACTCGGCCATTCTGGCCAACAAAATTTGCAGCGCTTGCTTCATTAATTCTCTTCGAGGACAGCACAGCCAAAAAAACTCACCATCAACTTCGGTGATTTCAAACCTCAGGCTATCCTCCCCAGCCTCGTTATTCACAATGCACCTGTATTTGCCTTTATCTGCCATAGTAATACCAGTAATTGTCCATTCTTCTTCTGTTGGATGGGAGTACCGGCTGTCATATTGAGGATCGACCTTCTTTAATGTATCGTCCCATCCAAAGTACCAAGTGACAGTTGGTTTTGGGGTACCTTTCTTAATATCACAGTGAAATGTGTTGTTGGAACCTTGAGTGAGACTGCGATTTACAGGATCTCCTTCATACTTGTTGATTTGGGGGCTCTCTGTTGTAGAAAAAAAAAGACAGTGCTTCAATCAGACAATCTTATTAGCTTTGTCAACGTTTTAAGCGCTTAACGTGTTAACAGTTGCATGGGGGCAAGGAAAACCATGATATTTGTCACAAATTGCATGAAGTTAATCAAGTCAGCTTACTACCCTGTCACTAATCAATGATTGTTATAGTGGCCACTCATTGACAATAAGGATGTCGGAGGAGCATAATATACGCTACGTAGTTTCAAGTTCACCATGATCGCTGAATACAAGCACCAAAGACGCAATTTAACAGGGCTAACGTCCATTTGAAGTGAATATATTCACAAATTTCAGCGAGAGGAAGACCTGTTTCCAAAATTGTCCACTTTTTATTTTCAAATTGTACCAAATCCTAGGGGGAGTTGTGGGGATTTTACTTTACGTACAGGCTAACGTAACGCTGTATCAATGTGTCGTCATTGCTTGCATACATTGGCAATTTTTAATTCAATATGTACGTTTCCACTATGCTAATTTTATAGAAAACAGGAGTAAAGTACTATACACCGATTAATTGGTGAACTGCGGAAGATACAAATATCGATAATTTTTCTCGTGCTTTAAGTTGTGACTTAATAATCAAAATGGTTGACGATCGCTGATGATATTGTGGCCCCGTGTCATGATCTGTATTCTCTCGTGGAGCAAAAGCCTCACAGTGTACCTTACCTATGACTACAGCAGAGATAGGGTCAAATGTGTGACCACCAAGTTTAGTTGAAACTACTTCACAAGTGTAGTTTCCTTTATCAATCTTTTGTACAGGTTTGAAGGTGATTGATCCAGTCTGTGGATCGAGAGTTACGCGTCCACCAAATCTTACATACTGTCCATCCTTTGTCCATATGTAGGTAAGTGGTGGATAACCTGACGCACCCAATACAAGCGTTTGTGTTTGGCCAAGGAGTAGGGTTTGCTTTAAGTCGACACCAATTACATTATCTATACCAAAAAAGATAATTAAAAATTTGTCACAATTGGCCGTCTTCTCAAGTCTTCATAACAACTAATCCTCTCACTCCTAGAACCTGTCACGCATGATTTTTTGTAACTCTACGGGCTTTAAATCTGTGGACAAAGTCCTGTTTGTAACCATTCCAGTGAAACATCTTTGGGAGAACTGGTTTGCATATGTAGTACTGTTTATCTAAATTGTATTTCACATGTGTTTGCGGAGGAGTATTTACTGTAGACCACTCTTCGATTTGCAAACTAGGAGGTTTTTTTACTTAGCACCACAACGAGCTAAAATAGTCAGGATCTGCGAACTTCTGAGTACGGTATGCAGTGATGTTGAAACTGAGCCAGTCCTCCAAGACATCACTGGAGAACAGTTAAGTGGAGGATCTAATAAGGTGCAAGATGCGAGATTGTAAATCCAGTATAATGCACGCGGGTTCTGGGAGCACCGATGATCAGCATGGCGGAATGGGAATTGAATGCCTGAGGTATCATAGTCAATTAGCGGAGCTGATTGCCATCAAGAAAGGGGAGAAATATGCTAAAACCATGTCATGGATCACAAGCCGAATTTCATTTGCACCATTAAGATCTGCACTAGCTCATTTTTCCTAGAGGCTCTACAGCAATATGAAGAGTTTAACCTAATATTAAGAACACTGACATTAACAATGAAACTGTAGAAGATGCCATTTATACGGTGGCCCGGAAGGGTCACACATGCAAATTAAAAATGTTGTTGCAAACTAAAAATTTTACCTGCAAATTAAAAATAGTACATGCAAATTAAAAATTGTACATGCAAACTAAAAATGTTACCTGCAAATTAAATATAGTACATGCAAATTAAAAATTGTGCTGCAAATTGAAAATAGAAAACATATCGATGCAAATTAAAAATGAAAAGTCCTGCGCGCGCAATATGAGTGATGAGGACCTGGTCCGAGCCGTGCGACCTGGCCTTACAGCCGTCGGCCCATTCATGTTTCATGTTTGTAATATTTTTAGTTTGCATGTACAATTTTTAATTTGCTTGTCCTATTTTTAATTTGCAGCAACATTCTTAATTTGCAGGTAAAATTTTTAGTTTGCAGCAACATTTATAATTTGCATGTGCGACCCTTCTGGGCCACCGTACATTTAGGAGATACGAGGTTTTATTTTTTATTACTGTTACTAGACTTTTTTTATATCAAAAAAGGAGAATTTTTAAATTATTATCATGTAGACAAGTTGATCGTTGAGACCGCGCTTTCTCACTTAAGAAAGTAATCTGCTATGGCATTGCTGATGTACATTAGTTGTTTGTGAGTTAGTTAGCATATCCAGCTGATCTGTGACATTTCCAAATATTCATCATCTTACATAAAACCCAAGGAGGGCTTCATATTAAACACGTAGGTAAGAGACTAGTGCTGGGGAACAACTTTAATTTATACTTTTATGTTTACAAATATATGATAGTTATCTGAGCAGTGGGTCAACATTCATGCATAAGTAATAGTGAACTTAATTACTCTCTGACGTCTTCGAATTTGCAATATTGGGCGCTCATCAACATTACTGAGGGACAGTTGAATTGTTGATTCCCTGTAAGGTCAAAATTCCAACGAGCGACATGGCCTTAAAACAGCGAAACAAGATTGATGAAATGGCGATAGACAACAAAAAGATGGGTCGAAACTGCGACAGCGAAAAAAGGCAAATTCAATGGTAAAATACCGACAGGGACATGGCTTACTCCTCAGTGTGCGAAAACAAAGGGTGAGTTCCTTTGAGATGATCCGGATCAGGATCAGTGATCCGAGATCACTGATCCTGATATGGATCACCCCAAGGGAACGCACCCTTTAAAGAGTTTCGAAATTCAGACATAATACATACATATCTCCTCCTCCTCTTAAGAGGACCTTATTGTTAGATGCTGTATTGGGTGACTTTGAAGTAAGCAAAGAGAGTGTATGCTATTGGAAAACATCTCCAGCTACAGAGCAATATTAATGTATAATGTCGATTCAGATCTGTTGCATTTAAACATTATAAATTTTATATTATTTATCAAAAAACTCGAACACTGGAACAGCACATGCCGTATTGTGTGATTTTGAAGTAAGCAAAAGAGAGTGCATTCTATTGGGGAAACACCTCCAGCTACAGAGCAATATTAGTGATTGCTGCTTCAGATCTGTTGCATATAAACATTATAAATTTTATATTATTTATCAAAAAACTTGAACACTGGAACAGCACTGAATTACTGCTTCGAACAGTGTATTACTACCCCTAACGGTAGGAGATACCCACTACCTTATAGACTATACATCGCAGTACACCCAGGGAGTTCCCCTTTGCGAGATACTTACAATTAATATATAGAGTGAATATTGCTGAATTCAACGAGCCTTGACATCTGTATTCGCCTCCATCTTGAGCAGTTATGGAATCTATATTCAGTGTATATACATAACCAGTTACTACAACTGTAATCCTCCCAGTGGTTGATGTTGTGATTTTCTGACCCGAGGGAGTTACCCAAGAATCAAAGGTTTCTCCTGTTATGGTGCAAGCCACTTTTGGATCTCTTCCTGCCGCATATTCTCTTTCTGTAAATGGCATAGTAACTGTTCCGTCTACAAGAAAAGAAGAAAAAGATACCAAACCCCTCAGTATTTGATACTATTATTGTCATAGTATAAAACTTTGGAATGCTGTCCACATTATGAGTAGTATAGGGCGCATAACGTAACCTACACCACTTGAGAAGCTATACTTAGAAGTAAAAAAAGGTCGGTACGAAACCTAATACAATCCTAATATACATAATGATATGAATCGCTCTACTTAAAAAGCCAATTTAAAATATTATCAAATTCTTATACTCTGTAAAACCTACGCAAAGACATGATGATATAATTATCTCTAAAAGCCTGTTTAGAAAATTATTCAGTTTTTATACTCTCATTATCTGTTATATACCTAAACAAGACTTAATGAGAGTATAAAAACTGAATAATTTTCTAAACAGCCTTTTAGAGATAATTATATCATCATGTCTTTGAGTAGGTTTTACAGAGTATAAGAATTTAATAATATTTTTAATTGGCTTTTTAAGTAGAGAGATTCATATCATTATGTATATTAGGATTGTATTAGGTTTCTCACCGACCATTTTTTACTTCTAAGTATAGCTTCTCAAGTGGTGTAGGTTACGTTATTATTATTACGTTATTATTATCATTATTATTATTATTATTATTATTATTATTATTTAGCAAAAATATCACGTTTGGTGCCAATGTATTATGTTCAAGCCTAGCTTCACTCCCAGAATTTTTAACAATAGAGTCTCATAAGGTAGTTATAACTTTCGAGTCTGTTCGAAATCTTATGGTGACAAACCTGATTGACAGTACTTTCAAATTTTCCACCAATAACGTTTCTCATCATTTTGGAAACTTTGCTGAAAGGGTGGAAATATAGCCTCCCTCGCAGCCATTTTGGTGTCGTCACGCAACGCTCCTTCAAATGTAAAGTGTTCCTTAAAAAGCCCTGAGGCTGTAGCTGTGACGTAAGCTTCTCAGTTCTGACAAACTTTTTTGTTTCTTCTTCTATTGTAAACTGTCTATGTTTGCTTCATGTGACATATGAGATCTCAGTCAACTTAGATAATTTAAGGGACCTCTAATTTGTCGTGCACCCCTTCCTTTGTTCATTTGTTGGTTTGAATAGTTTTGATCCAATTTGAAAATGTCAGGCAAACGTGTTTAGTGAGTCTTTAAGTCTCCTTTTTGTGCGCTTCTGTCCATTTCGATCTCTTGATTTTTTTTTCCCTCTTAAGGCTCAGCGTCACTCCAATTTGTGGTCATAGCGGGACTGACATTGAGACCTAACACTGCCTCCTTTCACTCGATACCAATCCAATCAATGAAAATCAATCATTGATTTTAATCAATATTATTAATAAAAATCTATTGATTGATATTGATTGGCTTAGCTAATCAATAAAAATATATAATCACTCACCGGTACGTCAAGCTTTATTGATTTTCATTGATTGCTATTGATAATCAATAGCTGATTGTGAAACACTAAAAACCGGGTTAGGCGTTTGCTTAAACGTGGTCGCAAACACAACAACGCTGCTATGTCTGTGGAAATTTCTATATGTTATGGAGTCAAGGGGTATCACCACTGTCCTTTTAAAGTAAGGGGAAGTATTTTCCATTTCCAAGAAGAAGAGAGAACGCGATAACCAGGGGGGGGGGGGGG